TACGTCCAAATTTTGTGTAATACCTAGGAGAAACAGGTGAGGCAAAAAAATAATCCTTCTTTTAAATATTTGTTGCAAGTTCCACCACAATTTTATCCAAAAGGCTTTAATAACCTTGCAAGTCCACCACATATGAAAAAAAGTTGCATCTAGTTGTCCACACCTCCAGCACTTGGATTCATAGTTCTCATAAATGCGACACTCCAAGCCAGTTTGGAGACCCGCCAGGCCTTCAGAGCCCCCTGGAAGCCTCTGATAAGCCCCCAAGGGGCTTTCTGCCCTTTTTGGAGGCTGCAAGGCCAGGACGTTTCCTGGCCTCCAGTGAATGGGAGCTGTCTGAATTTATAAGCATTGCTAAAAAAAACATTGACAATTATGAAAGCATTTAACAATTTAAATAATTCAATGTATTATTCCTTATAATATTTCATAATCAATAATGAAAAAGCTAAGTATTTATTCAACAATGAATGGAAATAATTTATTATTCTTTGTTATAATTTTCAAAGTGGGTGGGATGGGGGGGGGGAGTGTCCAGCAGAGTCAAAGAGGGAATTCTGAATTTTAGACAATCAATCAGTGGCTCAATTCAATTTCTTTTCCTAACACCCCCGCTCCCCCCCCTCCTTATTGAAATGAGGTCAGGCTGTGACAAGATCACATTACAATCTCAATAAACGTTTTAAAGCTACACTTCGCTCCCTTTTCAAACTGCACTGGAGGGAAACGGATGTTCAGAGGCTTCCTGTTCAAACGGACCACAGAGAGACCTTCCGAAAGCAACTTCCCCAAAAGCTCCTCCCCGGATCCACCCGGAGCCCCACGGGGATCCTGGGCCGGGCGAGGAGGGGGCAGATCCAGCCCGGGGAGGGAGGGACCCCCTTTGCCCCCCTGGAGGGAAGGGAGGGATCCACTCCCTGCAGGCGACGCCAGAGCAGAATCTCCCCAAGGAAAACCCGGCAAGCCGGAGAGGCGGATCCGCAGCTACCTTTCTCCTGGCGGGGGGGGGGGGAAAGCTCTCCTGGCGGGAGGGGCGCCCCAAAGGCCGGAGGGGGAGCAGCCAGACCTGCCCCGAGCGGGATCCAGAAGCCTCTCCCGAGGGATCCAGCGCCGATCCTGCCAGGGCGAAGCGAGACACGTGGAAAGGAAGCGGAGATAACAGCGAGTGGGAGGGTGGAGGCGAGGGCGGGGCTTCTGCTCTCCTCTCGGGTTCCGCCCCCGCCTTGCAGCCCCGCCCCTTAGCAGCCTCAGAACCTCCCCCCTCCCTTCCCTTTTCCGCCTTCCCAGCCGGGACTCCCTGTTTCTCCGCTGGGCATCCGCCTCCCGGGTTCCTCTGCCCATGCTAAGAGCGCCCTGCTGTGTCCGGGTGGGGCTGGGTGGAAACTGAAGCTCCGCGATGGATTTTTTTTTGGGGGGGAGCCAGGAGTGAAAGGAAACCCCCCCCGGCTGGATGTTTGCGGAGACCGACTGAGGACGGAGAGTGGGGGGGGCTGGTCCGGGGTCCCTTCCCCGGGGGAGCCTCCCTGGCCGGGTGGGGGGAATGGAGAAGCCGAGTCCCCAAACGCCTTTCCCCGCCCCCCTCCGTCCCCCCCTCTGCCTTTCCCAGCCTATGGATCCCTCCAGGTGTTTTTTTGGGGGGAGGAGCTGAGGCTGCTAAGGGGCGTGTCTGTAACGCGTGGGCGGAGCCCAGGAGGAGAGCACAAGCTCCGCCTCCTCCTACTCGGTGGATTTCCGCTTCCCTCCACGTGTCTCACTTCGCCCTGGGAGGATCAGCGCTGGATCCCTCGGGAGAGGCTTCTGGATCCCGCTCGGGACAGGTCTGAATTGATGTAAGCAAACAAAGGTAGAGATAACTGGCTGCGTCTCTTGTGAAACCCCCCCCCCCGCAGAGAGGAGGAGGATGGTTTGGGAGGAAGCGAGGGAAGAGGCAGCAAAACTGCACTTGGGCGAAGATCCGGCCCCGGGTGTGGAGGAGGCGATGCCGGTAGAGACCCCCCCCCCAAAAAAAATAACACCTGGAGGGATCCATAGGCGGGGGAAAGGCAGAGGGGGGGGACGGAGGGGGCGGGGAAAGGCGTTTGGGGACTCGGCTTTTCCATTCCCCCCACCCGGCCAGGGAGGCTCCCCCGGGGAAGGGACCCCGGACCAGCCCCTCCCTCTCCGTCCTCAGTCGGACTCCACAAACATCCAGCCGAAGGGTGGGGGCTCCTGTCGCTCCTGGCTCCCCCCCCAAAATAAAAAACCATCGCGGAGCTTCAGTTTCCAAACAGCCCCGTCCGGACAGAGCAGGGCACTCTTAGCATGGGCAGAGGAACCCGGGAGGCGGATGCCCAGCGGAGAAACAGGGAGTCCCGGCTGGGAAGGCGAAGAGGGGAAGGGAGGGGGGAGGTTCTGAGGCTGCTAAGGGGCGGGGCTGTAAAGCGGGGGCGGAGCCCAGGAGGAGAGTAGAAGCCCCGCCCCCGCCTCTCTCCTCCCACTCGCTGGATCTTCGCTTCTCTCCACGTGTCTCCCTTCGCCCTGGGAGGATCAGCGCTGGATCCCTCGGGAGAGGCTTCTGGATCCCGCTCGGGGCAGGTCTGGCTGCTCTCCCTCCGGCCTTTGGGGCGCCCCTCCCGCCAGGAGAGCTTCCCCCCCCCCGCCAGGAGAAAGGTAGCTGCGGATCCGCCTCTCCGGCTTGCCGGGTTTTCCTTGGGGAGATTCGGCTCTGGCGTCGCCTGCAGGGAGCGGATCCCTCCCTTCCCTCCAGGGGGGCAAAGGGGG